AACGATTGTTCCCTCAGATTTTAAGAACTCAAGTCATTCTAAATTCTGTTCGATTCAGTAGGGCTTCTCCAAAGTGAATTACAAAGTGGCACATTGAAATAGAAAAATCTCAGTGCTTTCCAGCAAAGCTCTTTAGGGTTTAATGCCTAGAAGGCAGTCACAATGCGTCACAGACTGGAAGCGGGCCAACAACCAATCACGTCCTACTAGGATGAGCAGGTGGATGGCCAAGAATACAAATAGTCAGTCTGTGTCAGGTACCAAGGGTCCTGTAAGAAATTATTTCCAGACCAGACAGTTGAGCAAACACACTTGCTACAGAAGCCCCACTCTTCATAACACATTTACTGATGATGTACTGAATGAGAAACAAAGATAAATTTATCCTTACAAAGGCTTTTGCTGTAATTGAATTGTTTAAATGATCTACCCCGCACAATCGATACTGTACAAAGTGAGTTTTCTCTGCTGCCCTTTTCTTACCAGCATGCATCACTGCATGCACTTTCTTATTAGAGTATTTTTTTTCCACGTGCTGTGCGATTCAGGTGAACCTGCGACTGATTATTCACTCACATTGTCACCCACACACTCCCCATGTTTCTGTACTGCAGTGCAATTTCTAAGAGAGGTATCAATCAGCAACTGTGACACTGTATAAAATTAAATGCTTTCTTTTTACATAAACCCAGGTAGGAAATTTTTTTTTGTAGCAGCGTCATTCTTGTGTTACAGAACACTAAAGTTAAGGCATCCTTCCCAAATGTTCCAAGGCCATTAAAATCCCAAACTCCATTTTCGCAATTAGCTTCTTACTAAAAGCTACATGAATGTAAATTTTTCTGCAAAAGTTAACCCAGTTTTAGGTTATATTACTAAATTATGACATTTTTTAAAATTATTATTTTCTGGGTGTTTTTCTCTCAGCTCTTCTTACTAAGTGGGCGGGGCTCAGTTGGTAAAAGGACCAATCAGGATTTAGCAACATTTGAATTAAAACACAATGACTTCTGATTAAATCTGATTAAACAACATGCACACAGTCTTGATTAAGCACATTAGCTGAGGTTTCCCATTGTTGAACTCTTAATAAAGTTAAGTATGTTGTCTTTCACGCTTTATCGTTAACTGTTGCTTATTTAGGCACAACTGTTCATAATACTTTTCAGACGCTTTACAGTGCTGAGGTCAAAGAAGATATCCCACACAACATTCCTATATGAGTGAAAGTGAATAAAACTCAGCTAAACTCAAAAGCAGAGGATGTGCTTGCTTAAACAATAGGTATTATGAATGAACTATCAACAATTTGTGTTGAAATTAGCGAAAAAGAAAAAGGGTACAGTCAATTAATTCTGTGAAGCTGTCACAGTCTAGGTTCTGATTTAAAGCTTGATTTGAGATTAATGAATCAGCTGTTTTGTATTTGTTGTACAAATAAAAACAGCATTATTTTTCATGGACAACCTGTCCACAAAGCTAGTATTAGTATGAATTATAGAACTTATCTTAGAAAGACTCAAACTACTTTTTTATCAGATAATTTTTCTACTTTGGGTGAAACAAATAGGGTAACATGTAAATTATATCACATGCAACTCCAGTCCTTTTGCATACAGTGCCATAAAAAGTTCTGAGTTCCAATGCTGTGTCCTTGTAGCAATCGCTTATTTAGCCCTTGTTATATTACCTGATATCAGACAGAAATGTTAACTCAGTACACTCCATTTACAGAGAGTCAACTTGGTGGAGTGGGTGGATTTAATGGGCTGGACCCATGCAACATGTTACAGGCTAAATACAGTTCATTTAAAATGTCTGAAAATGCAACTAAGTTTCAACATTCTTAATAGACTTGCACATTTTAACATCCTTTGATCTAAAACATTTGTATGCTTGCATGTAACTACTGCGGGAGGGTACAATTGCTTATTAAAACTTTCATGTAACACACAGTTCAAAAGCAGCTCAAAATAACAAAACATATGTATATTGATAATAAAGAATAATTAATGCTCAATTAGCAAATCTGACTTCTTCTGAAGTGAATATGTGCCAGACCTGGCACCAATGAACGCAGTATCTTTAATAATACTGCATAAAAACATTTTAGAACCTTTGAATTTCTTCCAGCTTATAGATCCAAGTATTAGTATGATTAAGGTTTTACTGGAGCAAAACAACTGAGCACCTGTGACATAGTACCTTGCTTCACTTACCATGAGTAAAATATTGAATACTTGGCACCAGGGGATATTTGTTTTTTTTTGCTTAATAAATGATTTGAAAATACAATATTCAGCGGCAAACGTCTTAGCTCCATAACCACAGTTTTTAATGTGCTATAATAAAACTTAAAATGTATAACTATAAAGACGGAACAAGCATGGGAGGGAGAATTAGGGTGTCTAGACACATGAAGAGGTCTCATGTCTCCTCATCAACATGACAGATTTTCACTCTCCTGCATGGAGGACATTGCAACAAACTCATTCTGCAGCACATCTTGATAAAGGGCATAGAAACAATCAGAATCAGCAAACACAAAACCTGCTTGTTATTGGCCAAAACGTATACGTTTTATTCTTTATCAGCGCTGCAGTATGTTTGCTGCATGATTCAAATAGCTTTTATGGTTTCTTTGTTGTTGCTGATGTTATCTGTCACACTGTTTACTGTGTATCTGTCCACATTATTTATCCGTCCTTCCTTACTGCCTTCACATTTCTGGTTTTCACAAGAGGTCTTGTTAGCTATTGCCAGGCTGTCAATTAATTAATTGACTTGCTAAGTAAAGAAAAGGGCTTTTCTTCTTTTTTTTCATTTTAAGCATATCAACCAGTGTAGTAATGACAACAAATAAGTATCAGATTTTTAAACACACAAACCTGGTGCAGCCATTCGTAAGTTACAATGTGCACAGTCAAGCTTACAGATCAGATCTTAAAAAGAAATTGTCTGCCGTCTGAATACAGACACATAAATGGAGACACAGACAGTCTGCTAGCACCGGAGACAGACAGTAAAATAAGAGACTGATGAATGGATGTGAAGATTTAAAGAATGAGTCTGATAAGACAGAAATAACTGTCTGGAGAATCAGAGTGTTACGTAATGTCCTAATTGGCCCTCTGGTAAATTCAGCAATACGTGACCTGTACTTGGAGAAAAAAGGCACTGGATCTTAACAAGATAATGATTGTCTCAGTAGTTTGGATGTATCATCCAAAAGTAACTGTATTGTTAAAAAAAGGTTTTAAATGACATTTACAAAAAACATAGTTGTGCCCAAGCATTTTCAGGAATATTACTGCAAGGAGTAGAGGACAAGCACAGTAATTAAATCTAAAAATATCAACCTATGATTAATGACCACTTAGCTTATGAGTCTGTAGAGCCAAAACATGTGCTTACAGGTCTGTGTGGTTTAAAGGTGGAAAAACTGCACACTTTGTATCAGCTGTTGTGATTGAAGTTCTCAGACACAACTGATGGATGCTAAGACAAGTAGAGGAGTGGCACTCTGAAGAGCTCTCCACACCCATCACGCATTGTTGTTATTAGACTCAGTCATGACGACAGGTAACTAGAATCAGTGTGTTGCTGGCAGGAGTGTGTGTTCCTCTCACCTGATGAGAAAGAGAAAGATTGATGAAGGAAGGAGGGGGAGAGAGAAAGAAGCAGATTTAAGACTGACAGCACCTGAGGATGACAGCAGCGAGACGCGGCTCAGGTCTTATTCTGGTTCGTGTCTCATCCAAAACAATACAATCACACGCAATCACAGCCTCAATTGCTACCTACGAGATTGAAAGAGGTCTTGATGGAAGACCATCAAGGAAGATCAGAATAAAGGATTGGGCAGAGGAGCGGTCACACATGGGCTGTTAATAGAAGGTAAGAAGGAGGGGCTGTGAGAGGGGGGGAGAGAATATGCACCAAGAGGAAATAGAGAAAAGAAAGAAAGAGGCTGATCCAATTGAGCAAAACAGACTGATGGGGACAGCTAAGGACACACACACTCACACAGAGACAAGGCAACTTGGAGGTATATTAAACTGAAGGCCATTAGTTCTAAGCCTGTGGCCTGAGGCCATGCTGCACAGTATAGAGCCAGTTTTCATTAGCAATGCTGGGTTCAGGGTTGTGTGGCCACGTATTTCCCCCTGTTGCTCTTTTGAAGTTTTCATTTATCACAAAAAAGTATTCTCTCTTGCAATAAAAAGAAGGCAAACTTCAAGGGGACCGGAATAAAAATCAAAGTTTGACCCCATCAAAGAACTCATTTCAGTTATTGTATATGCTGTTTAGATCCTCCTCAGCTTTCAATGAAGATCACCTAAGCGTTAAACGATGACTCTGCCCTGATGTGGTAACGCTTCGTCTGTGGGTTTTATGAGTGATAATGCAGCCTGGAGGTGATGGCTCACTGCTGCAATATCTTTAAGGTTATGTTAATGAATTCTCATTTAAGTATCTTTACTAACATCTTAACACATGGTGTTGAAACAGAAGCAGAGGAGTGTCTGTCCTTGAAATGCAATATTCCATACAGTACATCTCAATGACCTTCATGAAATATTATAATTAGGCTTATAAAATACACTGAAACGTATCTGGGGGAAGCCATCATGAGAGCGCCTTTAGAAGGGAAAATGATCTAAAAATCTGAAATCTCATCACTGACTCAGGCTGCCTTCAGGCACTGCTTTCTCTCAATGAAAATGCACATTTCACTTTATTTTTTAGTATAGTGGATAGTGTGCTCAAACGCAGGAGGAGCTCTGTCACACTCTGACACATAATCATAACTGCCAATAGAAGGTTTTTAAAAAGCTGCTGGAGACTAAAGTACAAATACTTTGAGGATAATCTTGTGTTTATTTATGTGTTCAACGAATTCAACATGTTCTTATTAAATCCTTTTTAAACATTAGAAGTAAATGCTGAATATACAGTAATACCATCACAGCCAGTAGAATTTGGTCAAATAATCATATTTTCTTACATTTCTCAAAGGTTGGACAAACAGAATTAAATATTTTAAATAAATTCTATATCAGCCTTGGGTGACCACCAAATCAGTTCTTGACTTGGTATAGCGAATAACCCACACAATTACTTTTACCATATGAAGGGTCCAGCTAACAACTCAGGCAAAATACAAATACTCCAAAAATTCCTCACAAACCCAGTATACTGACTCCTAATTGATCCTGTTGGCTGGAATTCAGTAACAGTATTTCGCTTGTAAACATCCAGACTGCTATTCAGAGCTGACTGACCTAGGTCACATGTATTTACCAAGGAGGAAATATAAGGGAAAAATAACTCCCCCCAGGTTTGACATTTGACCTTAAGATGCAACTCAGTTTTAGCGAAGCTTGTCACACATTCAACTGCCTGAAGAATACATAACAGAAAAGGTCTGGGGTCTGAATGGGTTGTAAATACTGAGGTGCACAGTGTTTTGTAGTGCAGCACTGAAAGTTACTTATTGTAAATATAATCAGGAAAATGTACTTAAAGTATTAAAAGTAAAGGGAACAACCTTTGCATTTCAGATTTAAGTTCAGGGTTAAGTGGAGGTAATGTAGTACCAATCTAGCGATGTAGTTGCAGATCGCAATTTCCTCTTCCATGCATGAAGAAGAAACTACAATGGCCACAAAACATGTGAAAAACAAAAATGGCCCCATCTAGAGTGTTTAGTTTGACCGTACTGGGCTCCTGTAGAAACATGGTTCATGAAAGGCAACCTTCAGTGTCTGTAGATATAAACACCTTGTTATGTTTGTCATTAATTTTGAGATATTGGGAGGGAGGGTAGGGTTTTTATTTATTCATATATTTTCATTTTAAGTCAAGGGGAGGGTCCAAAGAAAGCCCTCCTCCTCCTCACCCCAGTAATTTCCATAAAGTCCCTAATGTGGTGCTTCTGCATTGGTAATTTTCTGACTATCTGTGACTGTGCTACAAAAACATCCTGCCTTCACTGCTGAAGCTAGTCAAATTTCATACACATGCTTACGTGCAAACAATAAAATTACGAAAGTTCAAGACAGCTGTGTGCAGGCTTAACAAAAGTCCTTCCTGCTGCTGCTTTATGGCATTCTGTGATTTGGTTTCTCTTCGTCGTCTGTCATATTAGCTGTTAGGCCTAATCGACTTGGCCAAAAACACATATTTCAAGCCAAAAGTATAGTTTTTCTGCTCTGTTGTTAGAAATGTCGGTCTGCAGAACTCCTCCAAAAAGGGTTTACTCTTCACTGAGATCCTGGTGATCTCTTTTTCACTTCACTGTTCGTGCTCATATCTACATTGACAGTCAATGTCTCGGTTCTTTCACGTGGTGAATCTGCGTTTGGACGATATGTTAGCTTTGGCTTGGTGCTACTTACATGCTTTAACTGTGCTGATATTAACTGCAAATTATAGTCTTATAGTGAGCTGAGTTCATTTTCTTTTAGTTGTTACTTAATTGCTGAGATCTGGGGACATGGCACATTTGTTAGAACAGGCCAGCAAGCAGTGGTGGAATGTATTTAAGTCAATTTAATTAAATGTTGTACTTAAACGTACAAAATGTAATTTCTGACTCTAGGGGTTCTCTCACATCAAAACAATAACCACAGATGAAGTTTGGTGATGTTGCGAAGTAACATGGGATCATGGGAGTTGTTATCTTTAACCCTCACTTCTGTCAGTCAGCTTCTCCTGGTTAGGATTCTGTCAGTGTTCATTGTTCAGGAAGTTTGTACCAGGAGCTGAATTATCCACAGAGGTCTTCTCTTCTCCAAAACAAATGGACTCAGTGATTAAAACCGGTTAAAACACTAAATAAAGCAGTTTCACCTTAAAATCAGTGTTTCTCCAACGTTGTTCGGCAGACAAACGGGTGACTAAAAGCCTTCATCCAGTTAACATATACAGTTTAAAAAAGGTCACTGTAAAAATATGGCTTCCAACTGGATAAAAAGTCAATTTATGACCACAAGGAGTTATGACACCATTGACAGGTGACTAGTAAGTTTGAACATTGTTGGAAACATTTGGGATCATTTAAGTACACAGTTTCAATGAGGATACTTCATATGCTACTTTATACTTCTACTTTACTAAATTATAATTAAGTTATTGTATTTAAGTTACAAACAAACCCAGTTAGAATGTCTTCATATCTGATATCGGAATAGTGGCCAAAGCACTTTGAGTGGTCGGAAGACTAGAAAAGGGCGCTACACAAGTACAAGGTCCATTTACCATTTACCAAAGCTGGCAAAAGAGCACCACTCTGAGCTGTATAACAACCTCTTCCAGTACTTGTTACTTGGACTCTCTGACACTGAGGTTATATAGATCTTACCCAGAAGTGTGATGATGCAGCCTAAAATAGCCAGGAGGGCGCCGGTGCTGAGGCCGGTCGCAGTGTAGGCCACAGCTCCACAAGACAAGGCCACACCATCAGAGTCACAGTCACACACTCGCACTGAGAGTGTGTTTGTGCTGCTGAGGGCAGGACTTCCACTGTCCACAATCAACACAGGGAGCCGATACACAGGTTGCTCACGTCTCCTGAAACCACCTCGCTTCGTCAATATGGACGCTGTGTTGTCTGCAAAACAGAGTAGAAGCATAGGTAGGTCAGACTGGTAAAAAAAAAAAAAGCCCGGAAAGCTGCGGTTAATGTGCATATCAAGTTTACTGGCATCAAATGAACAATGATCTGCATATACATGACTAGCAGGAGGCTTATATTTTATTCTGTAATGATTGCTGTGCTTTGGTTGTGCTGTTTGAAATGATTTTACAGTATTAAAAGCAGGAATGCCAACAGATGGTGTCATTAACACAATTCATTACATGACACACTGTGGCGTCTCTCCCTGATCTTGACCACCTGTTGGCTAATAACAGCTTTGGTTTGATGGTACAATCTTATATGAAATCTCAGCTTATGAGAGAGAAAGAGGCAGCCAGAGAAGAACAATATGCTATTACACCAGCTAAAAAAAGCCACTTCATGACAACTATTTCAATAGATTAAAATGCACTATCAAATTGAGCAGTCACATTTGAAATGTAGATTTTGCCTTGAAGGACAACTCCTTTGTTTTTCTGAGTGATATTAAGATTTATTTTTGCTTTTCTCTCAGATTCTTAGAACAAGGTAAAAACGAGAGAGATGGAGAGATGGAAAAAAAAACAAATGCTCTGGTACTAAATGTGAAACATTTAATTGTGTCCTTAATATTTGTCCTCCAGCAACACATACAAGTAAAACTAAGGCGCCGAGCCATTAAGCTACATTGCAAAAATCTGTAAGCACCTGAATGTTACTCTTGTGTGACTGCTGAATAATTCATTCCAAAACCATGGGCTGCTATAACAGCCTCCATTCTTCTGGTTTCAGGTTTTCTACAAGATAGTGGGACCTGATGGCAGGGATTTCCTCCCATTCAGTTACAATAACATTAGTGAGGTCAGACACTGATGTTGGGCGATAAGGTCTAGCTCAATGTACACGTTCCAGTTCTTATTGGATGGTGTTGAGATCAGGTCCATTCAATTCTTCCACAGAAAACTGGGAAGACCATTTCTTTAAGGAGCTGGGTTTGTGCTTTCAGCTGCTGTCGTTTTGAAACAAAAGGGCCTTCCCCATATACAAGTTCAGTATCCAAAGGAATTGCAGATGAAGTAGTAGCCTGGCATTGTCTTTCAGTTCATTGTTAATATCAAGGGCGCAGACCAAAATTTCTCTAGACACAATTGGAAAGACCTACAATGACTCTTCAAATCTGCCGCTCCTCTGACATTGTATAAAAACCTGCCCCATATTAAATAAAAGGGTTGTGATTGGCCCAATGAGATCCAGGACAGATGGAATTCAGTTTGAATGAAAGGGTGGCCAGACGCATCTGTCAGAGCAAATTAAACATCATGAGCTCGGCAGATCCATCTGGTTCCCAGGCTGATGAAGTAGTGTAGCAAAGCAGAAAGGAATGGTGTGGAGGAGAAGACGGTGGATATGTGTGCAGTGTGTCCAACTTACTTTAAGTGTTGTATTTGACTAACCTCAAAGGCCCTAAACCCATTTTCTCAATCAGCTTCAGTCTTGCTTTAAGTGATGAGTTCCTACATGAACACATTATATTTGATTATATCCATTATATACCTAATAATACCTTTTGATTTGACTGCTATTGTTACTTATTTATTAAAAATATATAATGTTATAAAGAAATAGTTAGTTTAGCAATAGCCTAGCTTTAGCACCTTTAGCCATTCCTTTGGAGTAGTTTGACCACTTTTAGAAAAAAAGTTAAATACAAAGATTGATACCATTCCCATACAGTATCTGTCCTTTAAATATAAAGAGCCAGCTGTTTAGGTTAGCTTAGCTTAGCATAAAGACTGGAAATGTGAAAAGAGCAGAAAATTCACCAGCAGCACACCACAGCTCATTAAATTGCATGTCACTTCTTGTGTTTTAAGCCGTACACAAACGGAAATGTACGTAAAAATGCAAAATTGTTTTATTGGAAGTTAATATAATAGTCTCCTGGCTCTAGCTTCACACTTAATGGACATATGAGAGGGGTATCACTTTTTTCATCTAACTCAGAATCAAATAGGCATGTTGAGCTATTCCATCTAGCCAAGTATTAGTAATTTGATAACCTTAACCATAGTTTATTGGCCATAACCACTAACTCTCCCAAACATTAACCATACCATTGTTGCCATGTGTTAATATTGTAGAAATGAATAATTTAAAAAATATTCTAATAAAATGATTTTGCAGAATTGTCTTGTATTTTCATTCATGTCTGATAATATACAACATATTAAAACCAAGGTAAACACTGTATGCTCACAGAGAACCTTTCTACAGCAAAGCTATCAAAAACCGTCTTCCAGCCAAGTTGCTTGTAATCTGCGGAGAGGTTACCTGAAACATCATGTAACACTCACAGGTCTGCACTCACATGGATTACTGTGGCACAACCTGGCTGCTGCTGCTACCCCTGCAATGTAACATGGCAGCCTTAGCTGAGCTACCACATGCCTGAACAAATCACTCAGCACAGGGCATTACCACAGAGATTGCGTCAGCTCTGCACATGGTTTCAAAGCAGTGGGAATTCATGTAAGTAACCGATGATGTACTCAGGCACAGTCTTTAAAGCTATATGCAAATGAACACTTAACTTTTCCTTTAGGAGAAGCTAATTTTGTTCATTCGCCCACTGCTTTGCGTGTAGGTGGCGAGCAATATCATAATGGTACAAAGGCAGTTTTCAGTCTGTGTGTTTCTGTGATCTAGTACATAGAAACCTTGCACTAAGCAGGACTGAGTTATCTCAGACGTGCTCCAGTTGCAGCAGAAAGTTTGTTTTTGCATTCAGTTTTTATGAACAATTACAAAAAAGGGCAGAGAGGGCATTGTCATAGCAGAATTATGGTTTCATTTGGCACGGCTGGGCAAGCCGAGAGGCACCAGTTACTCTGTACTTCTTCTCCTGAGTCAGATTGCAGAGTAGATTGTGTCCAGATGGAGGGCAGATATAAAGAGCCGGACTGAGCAATGACCAAAGTGTCAATTGCATTGCTGCAAGGCTCAATTCAAAAGAAAGTAAGCAGCAAATAGACCGTACCTAACTTGACCAACACCTTTTACAGACTCTGAAGGCCACTGGCAATTTTCTTAGGGGAGTTTATGATTTAGCGGCTGCATGCAACAGGGTTGATCTGACACTTGGAACTTTGACAAGGGCATAGACATTTAAGTTCAAATTGGTGACTTACTTCAGGAGTTCACCAAGTTTAATTTAAGACTTTTTAAGACCACACAGAATGCAATTTAATACCTTTCATGATACCGTCCAAAAGTATGAAAGTATGATGGAAAAGCAGTAGGGGCTATAAGGGTTACTATATCACACTTTGTCAGTATTTGCCAAAAGTTTGTACCAACAATTTCTAATATTATTAAAGGATATGTTGTTTTTCAACAATAATCAGGTTTCCATATGAACACTGGAATAATAAACATTGAAACATGTTTTTTCCTGCTATAATCATTCCTCTTGATCACAGTGTCCATTACAAGATCCTTTTGACATATTCGGAAGAAAATGGATGCATATAATAACTACTGAAGAACTATGAGTTTTTGTTAAAATTAACACTATTATGACAAAAAGAATTCCTTAGCTCCTGCTAACCAACAGCTTTTATTTTAGGTGTATAGCGTCTACTAACAGTTCACAGTCATATATAGAAACACATATGTGCCAAAAGCCTGAACTTGCGGATTACTTCCAACTAGAAAAAATGAATACAAATTCTCAAATACCTTTGTTATCTCGCAGAGTGAAGTTGAGGTTGCCTGCAACAGATGCAGCCAGGGCAAAATAAAAGCGGTGGCCACTCAAAGGTTCGTCCTTATCCACCGCACTGATGGTCTGGATCACCTGAGAACAAGGGGAAGACCAAAGAGACAAACAGAGACATTCAAGATTAGTTACCTTGCTGATCTTTATCCGATTTCACTGGCTGATTAGGTGTTAACTCAAGCTGTAAATTGTTTAATGTGTGCATGCAGTAAGAGCTAAGGTATCAGTTTAAGAACAGCACCGTTATCAAGCCTTTGTATATGCATCACTTTTCACTCTGTCATAGATTTATATACATGGAGACATAAATCTTTCTTAAAAGGCCAAGCAACGGTGTGAGTGAACTGGAGAAAATCAACCTGATTCTGATTGATGGAAAAGATTTGTTTTATAATGTTTGGCTGTGGTTTTGTGTCGTTTATCTCTTGAAGTACAGTAAGTGCTTATTTGGCAAGAGCTTGGCACCCTCTTAGGGATGAAGTGTTTTCTTTTGGGAAGTGTTTTCTCCGAAGCAAATCTTTGTCCAGCAACTATTGTCTCAGAGCCAGCACCTAGACCACAACATCCAATGAAAAAAAAAAAATGGCTTTTTTTCCTTCGCATTTCATACATCCTCTGGGCACTAAGAGAAAAAAAAATAATTTTATTTTTGTCAACTGACCACGTCTTTAAATTATGACCCGCTACCAAACAGTTAAGATGTCCTTTTATGGTAAATGTACATCTCTAGCAAACAATAGTGACTTCATATTACAGTAAAAGTAAACTTTTATCAATCTGAATGAACTCTTTTACATTTTGGTAAAATAATATAATAATAAATAATAAGCCATTTTATATATATATAAGACATACTGACAACAGTGTAATGTTATGTAATGTTGGATTAAGTAACTTTAGAAAAGATCTGGCTCGGCATTCGGAAAAGTGCTAAAGACGGATCAAACAGCTAATTTTCAACAAAATATCACAGCTTAAAATGTTCTCTATTAATGGTTGAGAAGACCATTAAAGGGTTAATGAATAATTCACACTTTGTTCTTATTCTTATATCGCACCTCCCACATTAACCACCACATAATAAGGTCAGTGCATGTTGTCACGCTGATGTTGTTTAAACTAAATGCATATGTTATGCAGTCAGGCATTCCTACTTCATTATTACAAGTATGAAAATGACTCATGATCTGCTCTTGCTTGAGGCGATGCAAGACAAGCAATCATATCTGTGAGTTAAACAAGTGAATGCTATTTGTCTCGGCCCACTTTATTTTGCCTCCGAACCCAAGACTAAACAGAATCTTACTCCCTTTATTATATAGCAGTGTTGACAACTATACATAATGCAGGAAATCAAATTACCAAATAAACCAATTTATTTACACCCACCAGCATGAGCTGTAATGATTTTTTTATTCATACAAATCTACAATATCTGATCTGATCTCTTTTCAGCAAAAAAACACTAAGCTTTAATTTCAACGCCTTCTGTGCAGCAGCACTTAGCTGCAGCAAGAGGAAAAAAGACAAGAATCTCGCTCAGTACATGCTGTACAGAAGAAGCGTATCACAGACAGACATGCCATATGGACGACAAATGATAGCCACCACCACGGCCATCAAAGTGGGTGTTACTGCAGCAGTGTCCTTATAAATTTAGATCAAGCCTCCTGAATCCTTTGTAGGCAATCTAAACTCAACCCTGTGACAACTCACGCCCATGGACAGGATCCAAGAGATTCTTAAAAGCAATTCACACTAAATTATCACATCTCCCAGCCCCACACAGCACTGCGTCTAACAGTAAGACAAAAACAAAAAAAATTAAAATTAAAAAGGGCGAGGAAGAAGAAGAAAAAAATAAAAGCCAATGATCCATCAGTACTGAGACATGGATTATCAGTTGTCAGCTGTGATTAAATGCTGCTGGTTACAAGCTGTCAGGTATTAGGGGTTGGTGTAGGTGGTAAACGACATCCTGCCAATTATTAAATCTGGCAGGCGGGGTGAAAATTCATGAATATTTTACTCTGTTTCTAAACAAAATTAAAATAGTAGCTCTTTCATCAGCAAAAGTAATCACAAAGTATGCTCTTTTTTGTTGACTGTTTGCTACTGCAGCGCAAGGGAAATTTATGTGGGAGGCAGGAATGCAAAAAAAAAGGTTATCTGCTCTAGTTCAAGAACATTTGGGATATCTGTATACACAGACAGAAGTGATGTTTGTGTCAGCACCAGATCAGTGACAGGTAGACGCAACAGCCGAGCACCTAAACATACAGTGTGTGCATGCTCAGCTGCATATCATGAAAGCTGCCATTGATTCAGGGATCATAATAACTCACAAGCCTCTCACTCTGTTATGGAAATTCCACATCTGATAGAAACCTTTCTTTGTGGTTCTTACACCGACACCTCCTATACACAATTTGAACCCTTTGATGTCCTTTGAATATTGTAGATGGATTCAGAGCTTATCTCCAGGAAGGTTTCCATTCCCCACTGCTGAGGGAAAGGACTGTAAATCATCCTTAAATCAAACACTTTGTAATGTATAATGCCTTTCATTAGTGTGGCTCTGATGCAAGGCGTTCCAGAGAACCTTTGGTGGGGAATTCTCTAATGGGTTGAGTAGCAGACAGGAGGAGAGAGGCATGGATGTAGGCATAAATTCTCACTGAAAGACATTAACAGCAGCAGCAGACTGGTGCCTGTCGCAAGGCAAGACTGAGGACGCCTATGAATCACAGAATTAAAGGTTTTTTAAGTTTACACATGGCTGCACATGAGATCAAAAGGGATATAAAAGGACAAAGGTCTATATTTGTCGCTTCAGAGGAGAAGGAGAATGTGCAAACAACAGAGGCACACACGTATCTATACACATTCATTGGTACTGCAAAAATTGTGAGGATATTTGAGAATGTAAGCTGTGTGTTGAAAACCTACGGACTTATAGTACAGATAAAAAAGCCAAACCGTTTCAAATGGAGTAAAACTTTTTGAGGGCATAACTAGTGCCCTAAAACATCGATTCTCATTTTATGCCTGTGACCTGTTAAAACTGCAAAACTGTCTACTATAGCCCGACCAATACTTTTGAGCTCTTTTTCTTTAGCTGATACGGATTTTAATATTTAGGGATCAACAAAATAACCACAAAAGTGCCCCTATGGTAGATAAAATATGATAAAGTACCCTGTATGATGACTGGATGTGCAAGAAAACATAAAGCATAGCCTCTGAAGTGCACTAATGGATTCCCTTAAAGTGGGTTAGGGTTAGCACGGTGAAGGCACCATAAATGCACACAACTTTCTGCACGCTGGTGCCCCAATGCAAGCAGATGGTGCTCCCGAGTATTCCGAGTATAGCACATCCCGAGTCTGCCACTGTCACCCTCTGCTGCTTATATACAGGGGTTGCTAAATTAGCCCAGAATGTAACAACAGCATCAAGTGTCAGAGCTTCTGTCTCATGTAAAGTTGTTTCACCTCGTTATCAAAGAAAATAAAAAGCGATTATGGATCTTTTAATGAAATGATGTAGGGGCTAGCACTGTCAACCGCATAGGTGACACATGCCAAACACTCATCAACACATTGCATCAGCAACAATGTCAAAATCCAATTTAAAGTTTTGTACCACAGAGAGATGCATATAAAGAGAGCATTGAAAAGGAGCATCACAGAGATGAGAAGGGCTGGACATTAAACCTCAAAACACTGTACAGAAATGTATTCGTAGCAGCATTGAGTATTGAAAAATGATCTGAACTTTTAAATTTTGTTTGTTTGTCATTCAGTTCTTCAGTTAAAAGTAATGCAATTCAGAATATTTTATTAAATAAAAAAAGGTGTCAGGTATCGAATCTCAATACTTTTTGAGTCCCAACTGAAATCTGCTTGTATCACTGAGTATTAAAAAACTGTTGTGTCAAGTAGTGTCATTTCTATTATTTCCCAACCTAAAACAGAATATTAGACATTTTTTACCGTTTTTATGATTTCAGTATCTATTTACTATTCAATGAGCAGTTTAGCATGTTCTGTTAAATGAAAAGAAAAAAGTAGAAGGAACTGTTTACATATATTCTCCACATGGTATTGTATATATAAAACTATTCTACTGATATAAAACATGTTTCAAACGATATCCAACCATATGAGCTTCAACTATAATCAAAAAAACATTTCTGTCTTTAATCCGACGCCAAATTCTGAGTGTGTAGTTTCTGATTGAAGACTTCAGTTTTGTGATTCAGATGCACATTTCTCCAGACATCATACCACCTGGGTGATTGAGCTGAACCTTCACAGACCAAAATGCTCACTCACTGCTCACTCAATACTCGCAGTAATTCAACAAATAACGTTCTGCCAGCTAAAACGTGTCTGTTCTCACCGGTTTGCAGTTAAAAAAAGTAAAGATTTACTTCTCCCAAACACCTGAAGTATGTTAGTGAACTACAATAACCATAATTCACTGAACCTATGACACAAAAGGCGTCTGTGCTTCATTGTATCTGTGCCGACTCAGACTCTCACTGGAGAGACAGTTAGAAGTGTGGCCTCTATAATGAGGAAACTAATGCCAGCTAATGTAGCATGGCTAGACGGAGAGAGTGAAAAAACTCGGAGAGATAATGAGCTTGAATAACACTTTCCCCTCTTCGACACTAGCAGAGTAAACACAGTGCTGAATTTTAAAATCTACTCCTTTAGCTCTCTAAAAAAGTCTACTTATATTATATTGTCTTAAATGTTTAATTGGTCCGTCAGATGAGTCATGCGATAAGATCAAGCCAGCCACTTGAAAGTTAAACTAAGAGTATAAATAAGCATCGCATCAAATAGGTGGCACTCGTTGCCATGGAGACAAGACAGCTGTCACCAGGGGTTGTGTTGATGGCGGATGTGGTGGTCCTGCAGTTTTCACACCCCTCACTCTGCGCCGCTCCCATGACATCGCCGCCCCCAAACATCACCCACATGTGGCACCCACAAGTTCACCGCCGGATCAACAGCATCACACATCGCACCCTGCTGTCATCACGCACACGCAGATAAATTTTAATGGCGATCAATATGTGCCGTTCAGCAAATGTCATCTTTCAATCTCTTTTCATTTCTTTCTGAGCTCTCATTTCTCATCGATTATCTGAATCATTTGCTGAGACTAGCCTTGACACGTGCATGTTTGTTGACATGTTCCTGACAAGACAGAACTGCTGAGGCTAAAGTGGTCTCCTGTTGAGATCTGAGATTACATTTGCTCCATGTTCTGTCTTTTTATAGCACAAATGTTACGCCGCCACACGCTAATGTTTTTCCATGTTCCTTGCGCCCTGACATATCTGTTTTCATCCCCCACCTTGACGCAACACCTATAATAAACTGATAATTTAAATGAAGCCTGGAGGTGTGAAGATATTTTTTTGTTGTTTGTGTGATTAATGTGACAGTTGGGGCAAGAAGTGAGGTAGTTTTGATCATAGGAGGAAAAAGAAGAACATTTTAAATGTTCTTGACCAGGAGTTTTCAAAGTCTGACAATGTGGGTCTCCTCTCTGACAAAATGGAGACAACTAAAACAGTTTTAAGTTTTTTATCTGTATGTCCACAGGTTCTCCTCACAGTGCAGATATCTTAATATGAATGAGTACAGGAGAGTGTTCCGGGTATATTAGAATATTACTATCAATATTAAGGCTAGTTATATTTTGAGCTAATAATGTTCTAAGTTTTGTAACTAGTTCCCATAATGCTTTGAGGAATGGAAACAGGAAGTTTAATGTTACCATGGAGTCAGTTAGTTAGCTGTGGGCTACAACTTGAGCCACTAATTTTTGCTTTTATTTGTTTGCATTTTGGCAAACTGGCATCATTGAAAGTATGCAGACTTAGCTATCAATTGTTCCTTTTTGCAGTGTACCCATGAATTAAAAAACAAACAAAAATGATGATTGTCAGACAAGCTCTGGATTTATAAGGTATAAGGTTTCTATAATTTCTAAGCGGTTTAATGGACAATTATTCATAATGGACATTGGAGATCATAATCCGAAGTGTAAGTCACATTGAAACTAAAGTGTATTGTGTGTGTTTTAAAATGTTCTCACTCCCAAATTTAGAAGCTTAGTCCAGTCCAGTTACACTTTCAAAAAAAAACCAATGTAACATTGTGAAACCTTTATAAAACGGTCACAGTTTGGTTAGATTTAGGCACCAAATGTGTGACATAGCCAATGTGACTTAAGTACATGAATGAAACATAACTTATGGAATGTGCCTTGCATAACTTACGTATGTTACATCAAAGATTTTACATTTGGTTTCACACAGAATATGAACAGCAGTCTCCTGTGTTAAAGTCCTGCATTTGTTTGAGTCATCCATCCATCCATCCAACCACCTCCAAATGTGGACTTTTGGAGGAGCTCTTGCTCCTTATACTATCTCACCTGACTTTGATGATGGGTGAAGTCCAGAAATAACACTAGAGGAATGCAGTATTTGTCGACTTGGCAGTTATGACTCAGGGAAGGAGTAGGTTTGACGCAAATTGGGGAAATCTGGTGGAAAAGATTTGGTACCTCAATTGCCTCCGTGAGCTGTGTGACTAACTGCTGACCCCTCTTTGCAGGCACACCCCCCCAGTTTGAAAACCTCTGTTCTTGACTTCTAAACACCCACAAATCTCTGGAGGATGCTGAGACTCCTCTGGGATGCTGCGGGAGTACAGGGAGGGGCAGGGGAGCAGATTGGGGGCAGCAGAATGCCAAGTCCACTCATGTATGTAATGCTTACACTGAAGTGATTGCACAACGTGACCCCCTACCCCCACCATCCCCACTGCCTCTGCCCCCTCCACCCCATCATAATATCAATTAATATTATGGCAGAAGACAGACGCACCGATGATCCGTAACAAGTGGCATCTCTGGAGAGAGCCAGTGCCACGAGACGGCCTTAATTAGGCCTGAAAAATGGCAGGTTATTCCTTCCCTGTACTCCCTGTTAATCTGTGCTACAGAGCCACAGAGTCAACCCTGGCCCCAACTGGCAAATGTTATTATTTCATCTTTGTTGCAGCTGTGTATAAGCCAATGGGCGTGACAGCCAGTGGGCGGCCTAAGATTTTTAACAAAGCTTAACAGGGAAGCAGACGCAGTCAGTACAGCCAACTGTTCACTGCTACGGCCGGACATACAGTACACAACAGGAGCATTTTAATTAATTAGGAATCAGGAGGGTGGTGGAGCGCACATCTGACAGGTTACGAGTGCACCCAGTCTGTCTGCTAACAGACAGCCGACACCTAGTTGTAATTCAAACAGGGTTTTGCATTCAAATGTCAACCTCTCTCTTTCCCTTTGCTTTGTATGTGTTTTTGGGTGTAAATTTCATCATGAAATTTCCATTTTGCCTGCCTTCATTATTCAGTCTGGAGGTGCAATCCCACTGGTACACTTCAGTGTTGCCTAAACAGAAGGCTTTATTTGAATGGGATTGGATAGAAATTGGTATTAGTGAATATAAAAATGAGAACAAGCACTTCATTCACTGCAACAGTAAAGTGAAGGAGTGAAAGTGAAACACGAATCCACGAATGGTTATGGTTTATGGCATGTGATTTTCAGATAATTCACAGGTGAAATGTAAGAAATCACATGTGAAAACAATAATTTCACATGTAATATCATATGTATTAAACATCATAAATTCAAGTATATTGCATGTTATTTAGTAGCTAACTAACTACCAGGCTAACTAAATGCATGCGAAGTGTAAAGCAATGTCTCTAAATTCATCAGTCAGACATTCTTTGGAACATTATTCTTTCGCTTCAGCTGAATGTAAAAGAGGGAAAAACCACAGACACTCACTAACACACACCACTTTAAAATTCTGAGAGCGTCTTGACTATTAGCATGTTAAAACTAGCTTGTAGCTATAGCAGCTCATTTTACGACTGCACCACTGTAAGACTGCACGGGCAGAATTTGAATGCGGTACCACTTCTCGCTGGGCGCATGAGGACAGAGGCCTCCGCTAGCTTTACAGCAGAGTAGCTCCTAGCTACACCTTGGGGGGGGGGGGGGGGGGGCTCACAGCTCAGCTATCACTGGCATTGAGTAAGCAATCTGTCTGCTTCAGCTGAGTAATTACAGATTTGCTGTACCTTTTCCTGCTGATGATGCTGTCATGGGCCATGGCCGTTGCTATGTCCTGGGGGCCAGTTTGATTGTTGGGGAATGACTTTGTTTCAGTATTGTCGTAGGCTCTGTGCCATAATTTATCAGGCGCTAGTGGGAAGAAATGTACAAATTATTTGTGGAATTTGAAAGTCAGGGTATATTGATGGGTGATAGATAGTTGCTATGCTTGCTCCAAATTTGATATCACCGTGCGACAACAATCATCTCAGGATAAATGGCAGCATCATTAACCAAAAATAGACATTCAGCGCTGGAAGAATGCATTCTTCAATAATGATGGCATCTAATATAGAGGTAGCAAATACTCTGCACCCTAAGGCTAAAATCTGATTAATTAAATTTAGATCCAGCAATATCTTAAAATACCTCAAGGTATGTTGAATTGTAAACTAAACTCCTTTTAGTTTTTTTTTTTTTTTGGGCAATTTTAAGTGAATAAGTAAGAGACAAAGACAAACACACCAACCTCCAGTGGCTCCAACCAACAACCTTAGAAACCTTCATCTGTAAGGCTCCATAACTTCACTGATAAAAGAGCCACATTGTGGTCAAGCATCATGTACACAGAAAAAAACAAACAAATGCACACATGAAATATAGTCTCTCATTTTTTGCAAATGAAATCATTTGCTGTGTTAGTTCACCCTCCCAGCACGGTGACAAACAACTCCAAAATATGAATGCAAATAACATATTTAAAAGGGCCTAATAGCCATTTCTAATACAATGCATCATTCTGATCAATTGTACGTATTCAGGACTACACGCCTCTTTTACCCTTCGCCTCTGATTGTATTTTCCAAATGCCAAGAGCAGACGAATCGCCGCTGCAGACACACAAGTCATTTAGCAACAATGAGGCCAAATGCTAAACACAGGGAAAATGCAATGCATGGATACAGCTTCATTTCCCTCCTTCTTTTTCTGGATCAAAGCTCCAAGCCCTGAAATCTCCCAGGGTCCCCTTTTTGTTTGATATTGTGATGCATCTTCTGCCCCGCTGCCCTGCATGGTGATAGTCTAATTACACAGGTCTTCAGAACGGAAAGACAAACCGCAGCGGAGCGCCACTCCATCCCGGCATGAGGTATCACATTACACCGTGATATTATTGTGGATTAAGACCACAGGCAGAGTCAAGCACTGTCATTAATTTAGTTGGCTTTGACAGTATGGAATGAGAGCAACATCTCTAATGAACGATAACACCTACAATACGTGCTATTAAATCTTAAGGATGTGTCTCATACTAATGATGCCGTCTCTGTGGAATGACCTCGAGCAGTGAGGCGTATATGTGCACAGTGGACTTGTTTTGAGGAACAAGAAAAGGTTTTAATGGCTTTGAGAGTCAGCAGGCTATCTTTGTGAGTCAAACTTCAAGCCAGTGTGAAGAGAGAGAGAGAGAGAGAGGAAGGAGGGGAAGCTGGACCAACTGCAGAGACTTTGCTGAGTCTTACCTGTCCTGGCATAGCGTTTTCACAAAGGAGAGTTTCATAGTCGATGGCAAAGACCGGGGCGTTATCATTTATGTCCAGCACTGTGATGAGAGAGATGCCTTTTCCAATTTGGGTTGGGTCCTCTGAAAGAGAAGAGAGAGAAGAGAGTCCCCTGTTCATGTCACAGCATTCAACAAACTTTCTTTTAAACACTTTAATTCTGCCTTAACTTTGCATTGATGCACTTGGCCAAATTATGGAATATTGATCTTTCTCATGTGTTTTAATTAATCACAAAGGAGGCAAAAAAAGTGCTGCTGTAATGACATATGCAGCGGGCTTCCAACAGCTGGTGTAGTTACCCATTCTGCTGTGGATCAGCCAAAGTGATTACACTCGGTGCGGGCTTGCTGTCGGGGAAGGCTGCGCTTGCGGACGAGCCATCTTGCACAGTGGGCTTCACGCCTCTGTCTGCCTGACACACACTGATGGCTAAATGGCTGCGTCTGAGTGCAAGATGATGATTTGGCCTGGCGTCGCCGCCATGCCGGCCAGAGATGACGCTGTGACATTCGGGCCGGCTGATTTGATGGTGATAAAAAGGACGCGCGGAGCCTCGGGCCACAGACTTGTTGTCATTGGCGTGGTCTGGGTAGAGCGGATGAAATGTGAGTGACTGCAGCTCAAATGCACAACATCCCTCAACCAAATAGTCCCTGCACTCTTTCCAGTTACAAAGAACCCATTTACTATAAATACTGTCATAAGGCGTACAGGGCAGTAGATTTTGTTGCCAGTCTGTGAACTCAAAGATGTTTTCAGCTGGAAACAGTGCCCGAGTGTCACTATATGTCAGAAGCCAGTACCTCATGCATGAAGGACTGTTGTGACATTTCATATGGCTATTATTATATGCCGCCTTCTCTTTGTTGCTATATCAGGCGAGCACTCACACTCGGGAATCAACCGAGTACTGTCTGTGCTCTGTTAGATGTAAATAAAAACACATCTTTGAAGCAAAGAGTGATGAAAAGGTTTTGAAAAAAAAACGAATATCTTTCTTCACACAGTGTTCGGTCTGAAGATGTGAAAGCAGAGGAACTGCCAGGCTGGTCGTTCTTTTTAACTTATACTGATGTGACACAGCTGTCTTGAGTGCTCGGCGGATCGTGCGCTGAGGACTCTTGTCCATTGAGTTTGCGTAATAGCAGTGGAATGGTAGAAACGCTGGGGAAGAAAGGCACTCGTGTCCTTCGAGCCATCGAGAGATGAACAAAAAGGCAGGCGGCACTTCTTCACATCACATTAACATAGATCACCCGTGGGTGAGATCGCCCACCCTTAGTCAGCATCTTGTCCCCACGGCTCAGGGACACATGGAGGTCAAAACGACTGTCCTGCGTGTGAATTAATATTCCCCTGACAGCCCTACAACAACCCCAACAACTGCAGTGTCCACAACAGAGAAGGCTATGGGACATTATGAAGAGGATAACAGGACATAAAGGAGTTTTATGTACTTTTCCACAGTGATTCCAACAAGCAGCCTAAACTGACCATTTGCTCAGCTCTTTTGGCAGATTTACTACTCAATATTCAAAGTATTTTTTTAAACAATGGGTCCTTAATCTCAAATAGATGTAGACAAACAGAGGTTTCTTATTTCCAGCGACCACTTTTTACAGCCTAATTAGCTCCATTAGTTTGTTGAAAACTGCTGACCTCAATTCTTTCAGCTTGTTAACAACTTGTTTTAATATGAGAAACATGATACAGTAGTGAGTTAAAAGACTAAACCCAGGCCAAAAGTTAGCATCCTCATAGGTTTGTGATTGATGTCAAAGAAATAAAAATGAACAGTGTTGAGCTACGTAGTCCTAGTTCAACTAGGCCTATATAAGATCACTTACTTTTTTTTACTTTTTTGGTTTAATTTTGGTTTAATCACATTCTTAAAATGCTAAATATCCCTCTTACTGAAATGCAGTGCTTCAACATTTCGAGAGTCCAGAGCTTTACAGGTCTGCCATTACGGTTGCTAGGTTTTAATTGGACAGTTGCTGCTTGTGGAAAGGGTTTAGCAAATGGTCAACTCTGACTGGTATAGCAGATTTGAAAGTGTGTGCTGTAAATAAACTTACGGCTCTCGATGGCAAATATAGTGAGGTTATGGACGGAGTTGGCCTCTCGGTCCAGCGGCTTGGCTGTGCTGATGACCCCACTCAGAGCATCCACATTAAAGAAGCGCTCTAAGTCTGTGTTTCTGTCAATGGAGTACCTGGAAAAAAATACACAACCAACATGCTTTTTAAAAATTGCTTTTGGATAGTGGTATTGATTTGACATTTTAGTGTTTCTTCTACTTGTAGGAAAAGATTATGATCGTTTTCCACCATCAAACTGCAACAATCACACTGAAGATTTTCAGTTGATACAGAGAGCTTTATTCAATCATCAATGAATTGCGTTTTGATGATGAGTTTAAAAAGTAAAAATGATTAATAAAAGTCCAGAGATTACTGTGAATTCAGAAATGCAGCAGAAACTTTGCAGCATGAGTGAAACAAAACCCTATTAAATTTTGATAAAACTGAAGGCTGTCTACTTGTCCCTTAGCACACAACACTGATCAAACCCTTTCAATACACAGCAACTCGTATTTCTAGAGAAAATTACAACTTCAATTAGCCTACATCCAAAGGGTATTATTGCAATGTAATTTGACTCTTGTGGCTGCATTAGTTCCACAATAATTTTAATTTCAACAGATGTAGTGAAATATATTGCAGACGCTGATAACAGTCACAGGAGCAAAAAGAGGCAATTTACAGCTACAATGGTGGAGTAATTTGATTTTCTGATTAAGATTACTAACAATCCTAACAGACCAAGCATGAATACCATACAATATTCATTCAATTAATGCAAAATAGGTGGGGATCTCGAGAGTGACACTGCACAGATTGGCAATGTGAGTGCTTGTTTTGAGGCATAAATGCCACAGCACAAGTGTTGAGCCTTGACCCTCCTGCAGGAATGCCCTTCTCTCGTTCAAGATGGCATTTCAGTTTTGCAAATGCTGCACTCCTTAGCCCTCCCACCATCTGGCATCGTCTTTGTGACAGCCACACAGGGACTTTCGAGGGTCTATGGATTCTGTGTTTGTAGACAATGTGGAGCATTTGAATAGATTAACCCATTTATAAAAAAAAATGTCTTTGTTACTTGATTTGGGAGCTTTAGTGGGATTTATTCTTGGGATTTCAGCTCTGGAGCATTAACACTTTTCTGATTTAAAGTGAATTATGACTGGAAGAGTTACATGAGGAGAGATATTTCACTTTTGAAATGGCATGGAGATTTACAGTTTGTAACTGCAAATTGTTAGTACCTGATGGCGTTGTTGGAGGTGTCTGGGTCATGGGCAGAGACTCTCCCAATCGAGCTGCCCACTTTGGCGTCTTCCGAAACAACCATCTTGCTGAGTGGCATGGAGAAGACGGGTGGCTCGTTGACGTCTTCCACTGTCACCTTGACAGATGTGGTGTCACTAAATGGGCCCAGACTCAAGAAGTTGGAGTCAATATTCCTGTTTGTTGCTTCGATTCTCAGAGAAAAGCTGCTCTTTGTTTCAAAGTCTAGAGGCTGGAAGAGACAGACAGGAAGAATACATGAACATATGTGAAAGATGTTCACTTTTCTTGTCAAAATAAGACACATGGTTTTAGATGTGGCAAGAAATGTTTAGTTCTTTGTTGGAAAGATTACGCTGCAATGGTTACTGCACATTTCAAGGGTAAAGGAACAGCTTATATATGCATGTAATTTGGAAATCATTCATACAATGAGATATTGATCCCAATTAAAGGTGTTTATTCTAAAGACCCATTTCAATTTAACACGGAATCAGACTTAAACAAAGTCTTTTGCTGATAAATTATAGTTACTTCGTGCTGTGAAAGCAATAATATTGATTTTAAGAAAGGCACACACCGTGGTGAAAAGCATGCTGAAATGAATGCTTTTGAAACATTTTGTCATTTTGTCTGGAACTCCCCATTGCAACATATAATATACTGCAGGAGAACATTGATTTGACACTTTCATTGTCAGTGACTCTCTCCAATGTTGTAATTGTCTGAGTTTGGTGCAAAACAAACAAAGGATCAAATTGGCCCATCTGACAAGAATTGCTTGTGTCCAACAATGGCTCTCCCTCTCTTACAAAAGAGCTGCAGCAATGAACTGTCACATCCATGAAGCCTGAACCGACCATTTCAAGTCTGAAACCCTGAAATGTAAAGTATGAGCCATAAGCTCTGGTGCATCCAAAAGTGAGGCAAGAACGTGCAACATTATTTCCTGTAGCAACAAATAAGTGGCTTTGTTCCACATTTAACTTTAGAAATTTTATTAATTTATGCAAACAGATATTAATGACATTATTTCATAGCATCTTGGTTTCCAGGGAAGGAGGGGAGTGCTTTTTTCAGTGTTAGAATGTCTCTGTTCCCTCCATCAATCCCTACAGTGATCTCTGTGTGCTGCTGTGGTTTGATTAACCATGGGTGTTTACTTTGATCAAAGGTGTTAGAGATAGTCAATGCTGATTTGTCATTAGTGATTATCACTTAATCCAAAGGTGAAAAGACATTTTAAGACAGAGTAAGACTGGTAAAGAGGAGAAAGGGAAACTGGGAGAGGCAGTTAACCTGTTGTAAACAACTATATGCAGCCTGGTGCTAAAAGATCACAGTAAATGGAGAGACATGTTTTTTCTGTTTATTATAACAACAGAATGAACAGACCAAAAGTCTGTCTCTTAATACTTCCCGACTGTCTGTGTACTCAGTCCCATGCCTATTCATTCCTACTAAATTCTGCAAATATTTAAAAACAAGTCACAAATGCATAATTCTTTTTTTTATTTTTCTAATTAAGTTCCTGAATAAGTTGATCACTGTAGCTAGCTAAGTTACTCAAAACAGGAGTAATAGTGCATTCGTTGGTGACTTTTTTTAGCTGCAGATTAATACACATTTGGTGTTCTAGTAAATATTTACAACAGATGGTGCATATGGGACTCAAAATAAACTACAGTTCCCATGTTCATGTGACAGAACACGTCACCCAGTGCAACTGTGTGACTCAATGATGTATTTTATATAACATGGACAACAACAATGGAGCTGTATGGCTCAGAGAATCAGAGAATCACTCTTTGGCTGCACAGAAACCACTTAATAATAGTATCAATTTGTTTTTGGTTTAGCACTTTTTATGATTTTTATATGCTTTAATATTTCTCTATAAAAAAGTCATCACACTGAGCTTTAAGATTAATTCATATCTGTGCGTCGTACAAGGTAGGAACATGATCAAAATCACGGTTGCTCACATCAGATTGATGTACTTTATATGCACAATAATGGTGCAACTGCATAATAGCATAAAAATGTTGATTCATATTTTCTGCAAATGACAGCATTCTGCAATTATGTGTCCAGAATTACAAGTTTTTAACCATCAGTGAACTGCCTCCTCAGTTGAGGCCTGGGAGCGTTTTATACTTTAAAGTATCTATTTATCATTATGAAGTATAAAGTATAATAATTACTTTTGTGAAAATATTTAACAAAAATAGGCTAATTTGGCATGAATTAATATAAATTTATATTTGAAAGTCCAGCCCACACAGTGTCTGCTTAGAAAAATTCTGGCCCTTGGACAAATCCCCTAATGCAAATGGATTTTCCCAACATACTTAACACATTAACATTCTTGACTGAGGAGGGGAGGTGTAGTACCATTTACGGACAAAACATCACTGCTATGTTAATTGTTCTTATATGCAGTACCTTCAGAAGGATGATGACCCCGTCTTGTGTGTCCTCATCTGTTGTTATGTTGAATATGCCAGGTCCGTCGCCGTCCATGATCCTATAGTCCATCTCTGCGTTGGAGCCTATATCAGCATCAGCTGCTTTGATTCTGGCCACCACAGATTGCACTGGGAGCGACTCCAGCACCGTGTACTGATAGCTCTCTGGAAAAGGAAAGACAGGAGCGGATGCTAGTAATGGATGTGCTTATTTCACCACCAACTCACCTTCAAGCGGCTCAGCTTTTGTTATACCCCTTCAGCTTTGATTTGGCTTTGTGGCTCCTCAATAAATTCATGTTGCATAACACAGACAGGCTGCAGTAGTGACACACATGGAATACAGCACTTTGCTTTCACTTCATACTGCAGCATAGGCACTCAAGACGGTAATAGAAAAGTGAAATATGCGATTAAGGAAGCAAAGACTAATTTCAGTTGTCAAAGTTTTAAAGCTGGACGAATATATTTAGCAACATATAAAACTCAGTAAATACTGTCTGGATGTAATAGGTTATCTCTTGAGAAAGTAAGAAGAAAAAAAAAAACATGAGTCAGACTCTGATCGCTTTGGTACCTTTCTTGGGATGAAAAGTCCACTTGAAGATTCTATTACTCCAAAACTCTCCATTGTGTTCCTTGAGCTTTTGTCTGACCCTTCGGATTTAAAGTACTCTTATAAGAATAAAGAAGGGAATCATATTCATAATCATAATCTCTCCAATCACCATGGCAGAGCTCATTACCAGACCTTTCTGTGTTCCTCACAGTGTCTCCCTCAGCCACCGTCTAAATGCTAATCTGCCTGACATTGTTTGCCGCCATGTAATCTTTATAATGGCTTTTTAATTTGCCGTGGAATAGCAGCTCTTTAAAAGACCAAAGAATTGCTTTCCTCCCTCCGTTTTGCCCCTGCACCTTCCTCTTTTCCCCTCTACCCACACCTTCCCCCACAGCCTGTTCTCTCATGCAGCTAACCTTGGCTTCTTTCCACTCGTTTCTTCCAAGGACTAGGTGCTCCTGACTCTATCAGCTCTGATGCTCCGTAATGGTCTATCGATTCTGACCCATGACCCTGGAAACGCGACAGCAGAAGCAAAACCCCAAACTCCTCCAAAGTCTCTTTCTTCCCAGCGTGACAGCACTGGGTTAAAACGGCATTGATGACTTGTTGTGCAAACTTGAACCTTTCTTTCCCCCCAGGGGCCAGCAAATTGACTCTGCTTCATGGCAGTCCAGTGGTTAGTGCACCAGCCAGACAGTGGTTGGGCTATCAGTGGTAAACCGATTGCCGGCGCTTCGGATTATCATGAGAAGCACTGCATGCCTTTGAATCCTAAAGCTCGGCCTGGAACCCATTAGCAGTCCGTGAAATAGGCTGACAACAAAAAAACGGAGCCTGATTGATCCTGGTTTCCAACGCCAAAGCAGCCCCCAGCTCTGATGAAGAGTAAAGCAGGGAGGTGCACACCTTGCAGGAAGGCTGTTTTTTAATTTGGTCATAAAAGTCCAAATGTTTGCTGAAAATACAAATGTAGGGAACTTACAAAGATAAATAGAGAATGGGAAGGCAGTTACCATAACCTTAGAAAATGTGCTTGCTGAAGTTTAATGATGAGGATTTAATGTATATAATGAGTACTTTCTGTTGAACTGTATTCTACCACACAATACTGGAGAAATAATTCTACAGTGTTGTTCCAGATAATATAGGAAATTTAATATTTTCTAATGATTTCTTTTCACGGGTGGATTAACAGCCCAGTTTTTTTTGTACCACTGCATTCATTGCATACAATACAAAGTATGCCCTTATTTTTTACATAAGTTCAAGTATTCTTGTAGCGATAATAGATCTTTAGCCCCATTCAGCTGGAACAAAACACCATGCATTATGCTGATTGCTCAATTGCAGTTGAGAACATGGCATGTACTGTACATGACAAGCTTAATCGACCCTGTAGGGACAATCAGGAAGGAGTCTTACTGTGAGTGAACCGAGGCGGGTTGTCATTGACATCAGTTAGCGTGACAGTGACAGAGGTGGTGCCGGACAAGCCACCCATCTGGCCGACCATGTCTTTGGCCTGGATGACGAGCACATACTGGTCCCTCGTTTCCCGGTCCATGTTGGGAAGAGCTGTTCTGATGACACCTGAAGAGAGAAGAAAAGAGGGAGAGAGGTTTAGGTCAGCGGTTCCCAATCAGATACCATACCCACAGATTAACTGACATACTCCTTCATTGACACCTGTTTCAAATGTGTTTATTTGAATAGATTTTGAACAGGATGTTATTTAACACTAAATATATAAGTTGATAGCACAATAACGTTTTCACATATAACTGTCCATGTTTGGTTGATTTGGTTAAGTTGGCATTTATGCTACACTAATATCATTTGGAGTGGCTGAACCTGGACATTTCAACCAATTAACCACTTTTAGCTGGTTAGTTTTAGCTAAAGACCCTTTATCCATTAGCTTACTATTTAAACCATTTACCATTACTTTAAGGTAACTACTTGAACTGTTTAAGCTTATACTTTAATTTAGCTACGCTATATCGAACCATTTATCCATTACGTTTAGCTAACTATTTGAACTGTTTATTCATTGTTTTAAGTATGTTTCAAACATTTATCTGTCACTGAACTGTTTAGAAATCTCTGTTTGCTTGCTGGTTTTCACACAAATGATAGCTTATTTATTTTAAAAATCAAATTTCTAGTTTTCATAATTAGTTCAGCAATATAGTCCACATTGGAAACCACTGCTTTAGGTGACAGGCAGAATAAATGTTTCATAAATGTTATATTCATCTGTATTTTGCTAGTGCTTCTTCCACCAAGAGGATTGATTGTCGTCAGAAAATACAGAGCTTCAAATGCCTCCAGGTCATTGCAAGTGATTGTCTTTAATATAATAGCATTGAAAAAGCTTCAACTGTAGGCTACCACACAAAAAGTGGCTAAAAGACATCAACAATATTACACGTCAAGCCCTGAAATGACTTGTAGAATGTTTAAGTACTAGAAAGATCTTTTTATGTCAAAATGGATGGTCATAAAACATTAATTCAGACTGGAAAAACATGTTCACTCCAATTCTTCAGGTAGTAAGAATACATGACTTGAGGTTAATGGGGGATGTCCATAATGGCTGGTTGCTTGTTTACACAACAGCAATGAATATGCCCTCAAATGTGCTGTCACTCCAAATAGTTTAGTAGTCTGACATATGATGAAGTTAATGTTAAGACGTTGTCAGAAAAGTGAGCACATGCAAGGGGACATTTTAGCCGCCAGGGGAGGCATTATCTGTCTGTTGTCCTGTCATGATTGATCTGTATCAGAACAGGATCAGAGATGTGACAACACTGCCATCAAATGACTGGCATTTGTCTGTAGCTTTCTGCTTGCACCTGAGCTGCTGTATGACTAGTGTTAAGCCAAGATATGGTACTCATGCACAAAATACTAAAAAGCTTGAAGAGAAATCTTTTCATTAATGACATTTTTCCAATCTCAACTTTATCTGTTAACTACAAAGATGATAATTCCAGAAAAATGAACGCCATGCATTTAAATGCAAAGAAAAGTGTCCTAATCCTTCAAAAGCAATCACTGTTGCTTTCAAAGTTAATGACTTACCACACAATGTGTTTCATTCATTAAATGGCACTTATTAAAGATTCCCACAGAACATGGAAGATTACTCATTACGAACCCCACAAAGCCACAGCACACATTCCTGAATAAATGAATCATTTTTAGCTGCTTTATCACATTCACAGCCTGATGAAGCAGATCAAAGGGGGGTTCTTGCTTAGAGTTGGCAGTTTTAAGAATGTTTGCAGATTTCTCAGGTTGATTTATTTTACTCAAAAGCTGCACTATGTTGTTATGTTACATGTATGTTACAGTGGGCCAAATAACAATGTATGTGAAAGGTGTCACTCACGGTGACAGAGAACTATGTTTATGTGTGTGTTTTAGCGTCTTTCAGTTCGGTTTATTTTAGAAAAAACAGCTTTACTGAGTTCTTAACCTTCTCTTTAATAAATAAGGTCTGTTTAAACCCACCACACACTACCTGTCCAGCACCAAACTGCAAGCAGACTAAGTTAGCAGCTAGCTGGTGACAATAGTTTAGAAGAAGTCAACGAACAAAAAATGAAAGAAATTGGATTTACATTCATTAGGTCACCAAAGCACAACTCACCATGAAGGCAAATGTTTACTGCTTGAAGTGTAAGGACCTTCTATACTAGTCGCTTCCTCTCTGAGTTTCCATTGCTAAAACTTGGTGAAAACTATTAGACGACAGTTGGTTCCATACACTGTTCCATGTAGCATATAACATCCATTTTCAATGTTTTAAAAAGCTCTTTCTGTGTTACAAAGGGATTCGCTATATATCCAGTTTGTTTCCCTACCGAGGAGAATGGGGGCAGAACATCGTTTCAGGTGAGGCATGTCCTTGAAGTAAGAGGTGTACGGTTTATACCAAAGAAAAGCTGATGAGGGTCTTTTACATTATTTATTTATGGATGTGTTTCTCCAACAGGTTTCACCAATTGTGTATTTTGGGTTTGAGTGTGCTGTTTTTTTATCTGGGTGCAAAACCACAGGCCTCGTACGTGCAATGTCTGAACTGACTCTGACTCTTGCTTTATCCTGAGCAAGGATTTCTGAACATTGCAAGTCTAGTTCACACAAGAATAGCTCAAGTAGAAGCACACACGCTCTCTTACACACACACACACATTAGTAATTAAGATCAATCCAGGAACAAAGGACGAAGGACAAACAAATCAAGAAAAGTGGGTTAAAAGACTTCAAGAGAAAAATGAAGATGCTGTTTGACCGTCAACCATGGCTGTACTGGAAAATAAACAATTCCATTAAGTGTTTAATTCTCTCTTTCTCTGCCATCCTTTATTAATGTCATTACAGTCCCCCCAGCTGAAAACTGTTATTGGCTGCTCTAACTAAATGGCTCAGTTAGCTAAATTATAGTGAGTCGTCTACTTCTTTTCTCCAAAGTCCCTGCCAGTGGGCTTTACATTGGGATGACAGTGGTCAATAAAGCAGTAATCTTTTGCTGTTGCTCTACAAAACATGTCATTTCAGTCCTGCATCAAATAATGAACAGTAGGACGTTGTCATACAGCACTGGGGGAAAACAGGGCTGCCTTTCTCTCCTTCGGTTAAGCCTCAGCGACCAAGTCAAAACATGTCATCTGTTTCTCTCTTTTTTTAAAAGCCTAATGCTTTTATGCTGAGAATTTAGGCATCTATCTCCGCGCTGTGGATATTCACCCATCTGCTCCGTTTATCCCTTGCATCCGTCCTCCATCCACCCATTCATCACTTCTCTGCTCCTTCTACAGTGTAACCTCGTAGCCAATTAAAGAGCACCACCACTGCTCTGGTGCCTGCTGCAGTGACACCTGTGAACCCTGTTTACTGAGTTGCATCAGAAAGGTTACTTCAAGCCTTCAATCCAGCAAGTCTCCCTTAATACTAGCTAGACACAAACAACAAAACTTTTCTGTTCTCTACTCCATACAACACCACCACAGGGACAAAGCATGCATGTCTAGACTTGAAAAAGGCACCTTTAAACATTCGGGAGAAGTAAAGTTGAAGAGGAAGCTGGATAATGGTTGGATTATAATAACAGCTGCAACTGATGGCTCTTAAAGGTGAAATAAACTAGAAAAAGATGTCAAGATTGTGCAGCCAGCAGTGAGACAAATGAATGCTCTCACTAAACCATAGATAGGTTTCACACACAATTGATATACTTATTTAATATCAGCTTGGTGTGTTGGAGCCTTAGAGATATTGGCTGTGGTTAATGATGCCATGAATCCTGATTCCAGCAAGCTAAAAAAAAAAAAAACAGCGACATGTTTCTCCTCCCGCCTGGCCAGAAGCACACATACTTCTCACCGAGCAACACTGCTAATACACACAGCGATGTTGCAAGGCTGTTGTTTGTCTGCTGGGTGCCAGCCCCCCTCGCTCTCTATCTCTGTTACCCCGTGCGGCGCTGGTGTCATTCCTGGGGAGAGGCGATGATTAAAATCCTTCTGTCGCTATCACGGCACGGCCTCGCATTACGCCGTGACTCCTTGCCTCCGGTGCAAGCCAGACGCATTGTAGCCGCGCATTTATCTAGCTGTCTCCACACCACTGGCGGCAGACGGGTGGGCCGTGCTCCCTGCTAAAACCCAGATACTTGACATTTGTCTTTGGAAGAGGAAATAAAAGTGCAGACTTTGGAAGAACCCTCTGGCTCTGCGTGCAGCTATGAGAGGTGTTGATGAAGGTGATGAACACTTAAACATGAAGGGTGCAATGTGTGATTTGCTGAACCCTCAGGTGGTCCACTTACAAGGAATAGATCCCATAACACAAAAACAGGCCATACAAACAGGGAATAAAACCTCCAGCTAAGGTAGTTTATTACTGAGTGACATTCAAGCATCATGCTCTAATCATGGGTCACTATACCTACCCAGGGATCCACGAATGTAAAAGGGCTCCTTGGTGCTACAACACAAAGGACCCAATGTTATAGAAGCATAGCAATATGTCGAACATGTAATAGGACACATTATCCATTCATTTGTGGGGTTACGCTCAAAGGAAGTGTGTTCATCTGTGCACACATCCAGGTGTGTTTCTTGTTTGTGATTAGAATTGAAAAATTGCATCTCCTTCTCGATATTACACAAGGCAGCTAGATTTATATCTAGCCTTCAGCTGTAATGTTCTCGATTTAGTGCAGTCACAGCAGCAAGAATCTGGCACAGAACTACAACGACACACACTTTTTAAGAAAAGGGTTAAGAAAAGCACACAAAAGGCCACGCTAATATCTTAATCACAGGCTGACCCGTCTCCCCCTGACCTCAGCGTTGTGATGAGCCGCAGCAGGTATAGATTACACTAGGATTGAACCTGGCCTTTTCCTTTATTTGAGCGTATTCAGTTTAATTAGATTCTCAGGCTGAGAAAAAGACAAAGCTCAGTCCATCCAGCCGCCTCTCACACGAGTACCTGTCATATTCAGATGTCATAGTTGTGTTGCTTTGAGAGGCAAGCCGTGTCACATCTTAAATACCCCCTTTAGGATGTAATTA